TACTCTATCCTGGCCTCTGAATCTGAATCTTTTATAATAAATCTGCCATTTTTGAAAATCACACAAGAAAAATATGTTCCATATTTTAAAATGAAATGAAAATGTAAATAATTGAACTTTATTCAACCTACCACTGTTAACATTTTGGTATTTTATGTGCTATATATAAATATAGATAGAAATTTATAGATTTGGATATAGTATAAGGTGGAATCATACTACACAGAAAAACACCTAAATATATAATTTCCTGATTAAAAGGAATTTGAATTTTAGAAATCTTGAATCATTTTGCCAAATTGTGTCTCAGAAAACTTGTACCACTTTGTACTTGGGTGAGAAATAACATTTCTCATTTCAACCAGTGGTTTTTGGGGGGAATTCCAAAAATAGTTTTGAGATCTGTCATTTTTAACTTCTATCATATTTCCACCAAAAATCCTCCTTGGGCATCTTTCAATAATAGAGGAGATAAAACCTAAGTCTCAAAGAGCTTTCTTTCAGTCTAGAAGATGGATTTTGAAGCCGCCTTCTTTTTTGCAATTTGTTTATTAAATCATCATTAGAAAAAAAATCCTCATGTTCAAAAGAACATTAATACAATAACAGAAACACCAAAGCAAAAAAAAAACCAAAAACCTATCAATACATTTAAGAAGAAAAATATATGAGTATATGAAAGGGAAAAAAGTAAAGGATACAAAACAGAACTGAGCAAATGAAAAGACTACCATATTCATGGACAGTAAAATTCTACATCGTAAGGACATCCATTCTCTCTAAGCCAGAAACCTAGTTTAATATTATATCAATGGAAGCATCATGTTCTCAGGTATAGATAGGTTGATTTAAAACCTGTTATGGAAAAATAGTGTGAGATAGGTCCTACTTATGCTCTCCCAACCCAGTCTCCAGCGGGCTGGGACACCATGGCAAACACGACTACATCTTAAAAAACACAACTTTTGTCTCCCAGTTCTTTCTGAGCCATTCTACCCACTCCAGAGGCTTTAGCTGCCCTGTAGTCACTGTTTCCTAAATCTTTATCCTCACTTTAAACCTCTCCTCTGAGCTCTAGAGCCAGTATTCACTTGCCAGTTGGCCTTCCCCACATGTCGATGCAGAGACTTGAACATTGTGCTCACATTTCATCCCATCTTAGTCATTATCCCTTCTCTCAATTTTAGTTTATACTCAGCTCCTTTCTAGCTGTTGCCCAGACAACTTGGAAGTAGACTCCCATTTCCACTCTAGGCATAACAAATAAGCACCAAATTCTACTCCTGATTCTGTTTTTGTGTCCCCCCACCCGCACTGCCCAGCTCTCCCTTGAGTCCTTCTGCATTCTCCTTTCACTACACACCTTTTCAGGTAATGTACAACTTTTTACTGACCCCTCATTATTTACATGCTGTGTAAGAAGTGAGTGATGCTCACTTTTATATGGACACTAGTATATCTTTTGAATTTGGGAGGGAAATATGACTATGTACTTTAATTTGTAAGTGATTTGCCAACAGTGGGCACATGAAATTTAAGGCGTTGGAATGGTGCTAGGGGTTGAAATGCAAAAGCACCCTGTTGTGAGTTATCTGAACACATTTCATTGGTCAACTCACACAGGAATATTCACCTGTGTATGTTGCTGTTTGTAGTTCCATTAACCTGCATGTTTTGTAGCTTTCACATCTTGACTTCTGTTCCTTCATATTCATGAGAATTCAGATAGAAGATATAACAGTGAAGTTCAACCTGGTAACAATCTGGTTTTGTCATTTTCTATTTCTTTATCGCCCTGTTCCATGCCGAACATGTGGCTTAGTTCAACTAACACATTATCCCTAGTGTGTGTTTATGTCTTCAGACTGGATTTTTTCATCCTGTTCTTGCTAGGAAAAAAAGAATAGTTATGAATCTGTAAGAATTCTTTAATAGTATTTTTTTTTAATTACAAGACAGGGTCTCACTAATTTGCAGAGGCTAGCTTTGAACTTGGCAGTTCACTTGCCCCAGCCTCCCAAATTGCTAGGATTACAGGTGTGCACCACCACACACAACATAAGTTGCATCTTATCTAAGATACTTGTTCACACACAAGAGTGAGCTCCATATTCCTTTTCTGACCCAGGGTGGAAGGCTTGGGCTAAAGAGACATGTACCATTACAGGGGATGGTGTCCTTCGAGGACGTGTCCGTGGACTTCACCTGGGAGGAGTGGCAGGACCTGGATGATACTCAGAGGATCCTCTACAGGGATGTGATGCTGGAGACCTACAGAAGCCTGGTGTCCTTGGGTGAGTGAAATGCCCTGGTAATCTTACTAGAAGCATTTTCTTTATCAGCAAATATAGGAATCATTTTTAAGTTTTAATATTACTATTATGTGTTTTTAACTGACATAGTAATTGCACATGTTTATGGGGTATAGTGTGACATTTCAATACAGGTATATAGTGTGTAATGATCAGATCAGGGTAATTAGCAAGTTCATCACTCATATATCACTTCTTTATATTAGGATCATTTAAAAGTCTTTTTACTATCTTTTTTCATTTTTATTTTTAGTTATAGATAGATACAATACCTTTGTTTTATTTATTTTTATGTGGTGCTGAGTTTTGAACCCAGTGCCTTAAGCGTGATAGGCAAACACTCTACTACTGAGCCACAATTCCAGCCCTTTACTAGCTATTTTGAAATGTTCAGTTAATTGTTGTCAACCATAGTTGTTCTTCTATGCTACAGAATATTAGAAGTTATTCCTCCTATCCTAAAGCACCCCTGAACGTACTAACCCACCTTCTTTCCCCTGTACCCTTCCCATGTTCTGGTAAACACAGTTCTCTCCACACATGTGAGAATATGCAGGATTTGTTTTTCTCCTCCTGACTAATTTTAGTTAACATAATGTTCTTTAGTTACATTCATGTTGCTACAAATGATGGAATTTTGTTTTCTAAATGTGTATGTGTACCGAGTTTTCTTTATCCTTTTATCTGTCCATGCATACCGAAGTTGATCCTCATCATGGCTTTTGTGAATAGTACTGCAGTAAATGTGCTAAGCATAGTTTCAGCCACACGACCAGCATGCTAGCTTCATAATAGAGGTTCGAAGCATAAAAATTAACTAGTGAGTTTTAAAATTAAAGAGACATAATTCTCATTTCCTTATTTGCCCAGCCCAGAGACAGCTCCTCCTAGCTCCTGCCTCCAGCCACCTAATGTGATGGTGAGGTTAACATGAGAGGCCAGCGAGAGAGAGGGAACATGCCAGGGAGTGAGCTTTTATTGGGGAACAAATAATTCAAGGGAAAATTCCATCCAGTGAAGGTCGAGGAGTCCAAGGTAAGGGTCAGTGATTGGTCTTCGGATCAGTAGTCAGGCACACCCTCCACATGGACAAGCCCTCGCCCCTGGGACAGGGTGGGGAAGGCTCTGACACAGCTGTGTCTAAGCACCTCTCATCCAGCCAGGGAGATAACTCAAATCACCTGCCAGAATGGCTTCCCACAATAGTTTTCTCTTCAAAACACTAGGTTCGCCTCCTTTGGCTATGGGCAACTGACTGTATCATGTGGTAGTTCTATTTCTAATTTTTTGAGGAAACTTCATAGCTTCTCTCCTCTTTCTTATTCCCATCCACAGCATGGGAGAGCACTTCTTCCTCTGTATCCTACAGGCCTGTGTTACATTGTATCATTTTGATAATAGCCAAGCTGACTGCAGGCTGCAGGCTGCAGGCTGCAGAGCATTAATACCTCCTCCGGGTTCTGATTAGAGACCTGGAGGTTTAGTCATATACTTGTGGATTGTTTGTGTCCTTTTTGAGAATGCCTATTCTGGTCATCTGTTCAGTTTTTAATTGGTTTATTTCTCTGCTGTTGAGTTCCTCATATATTCCAGAAATTAATGTTTTGGGGGTAAATGGTAAATATTTTCTGCATTAGATGCATTGACTATACACTCTGCTAATTGTTTTTTTGTCAGAAGCCTTTTAGTTTGACATAATCTTTTGTTGTTGTTGTTGTTGTTGTTTTGGTGCTGGGGATTGAATTTAGGGACAATTGACCACTGAGCCATATCCCCAGCCCTATTTTGTATTTTATTTAGAGACAGGATCTCACTGAGTTGCTTAGCACCTTGCTGTTGCCGAGGCTGGCTTTAAACTCAGAATCCTTCTGCCTCAACCTCCTGAGCTGCTGGGATTACAGGCATGCACCACTGCACTCAGCCTACTTTGATATAATCTAATTTATCAGTTTTTGCTATTTTTGTCTGTGCTTTTGGGGTCATGTCAAAAAAAATTTTTGTGTAGGGCTTGCTGGTGCATGCCTTAGTCCCAGCATTCAGGAGGATAAAGTGGAAGAGTCAGTCCAGCCCAGGAGTTTTGAGACTAGCCTGTGCAAACATAACAAGATCCCATATCAAAAAATAAAAACTTTGCTTTGATCAATGTCCTGAAGTGAAATCCCTTGTTTTCCCTTTGCAGTTTCATAATTTCAAGTCTTAATATTGAAGTTTTTAATATATTTTGTGTTGATTTCTTTATGTGGTGAGAGGTGGGGTCTAATATCTTCCTTCCATCGTCATGTGGATGTCCAGTTTTCCGAGCATTTACTGAAGAAAGGTTCTTTCTCAATATATGCTTATGCTGCCCCTCGTGAAAATCAGTTGGCTGTAAATATATAGATTTACTATTGGTTTCTCTCATATTCCATTGGCCTATTTGTCTTTTCTTATGCCAGTATCCTGATGTATTTGTTATTGTCACTTTGTGGTGTGTTTTGAAGACATCTTTTATTCTAATTCCAGATTTGTTCATTTTCTTCATAATTACTTTTACTATTCAGGATCTTTTGTGCATCCATATAAAGTTTAGAACTCTTTTTTTCCAGTAAATGCTCTCCCAATTTATAACAGTGATTTGTCCTTCTCTGCGCATGTGCCCGCACACACGCACGTGTTTGTCTTTGATTTCTTTCAGTATTTCATAATTTTCACATAGAGATTCATTAATTGCTTGGTAAAATTTATTCTAAATGTTTTATTTTTCAGTAGCTATTATGAATGGGATTGTTTTCTTGATTTTTAATCTCAGCAATTTCATTATTGTATTTTAAAAACTACAGATTTTTATGTTGATTTTGTTCCCTGAAATCATACTGAATTCATTTATTTATTCTAACAGTTTTTTTGTTGGAATCTTTAGGTTTTCCTGTAAATACAAAATCATGTCATTTGTATATAAGGACAGTTTGACCTCCTTTCTGATCTGCATGCCCTTTATTTTGTTGACTT